TCAAGTACAGCTGTACCTGAAGTCTTGTTGAACCTGTAATGAGGGCAGAGGCAGAGGACATTTTTATAAATACAGTTCCTATATAATTATGTTTATTGATTCTTCCTTGTGTTGCACGCTTGTGTCTTCTATTAGCGCTGTTTTTCTTGTCCTTAAAAATAAAGAATTATAGCAATGTAACTATCTCTCCAAAGGATAAATGAAAGTCAAATGACCTTGGAATTCATCAGCAGCCCTTTTAGATACCAAAGACATCTAAGACCAAAACTGCTTGTTGGTGTTAGGAAACAAAAAAACTCAACAACATAAAAAAAAAAAAGCAGTTAGAAAAATTTGCTCTTAGGACAACAAAGCAGCCCTTCTTGAGCTCTGCTGCAAAATTGTGAGCCGCAGCTGTGCCACTGAGTCACGTTCAAAGGAAGAGATGAGCTGGGGAAGTATTTACACAGAGGTCCAGGATTCGGAAGGACTATACATTGTGCCTGCTTTGTAGCAGATATTTTTGTTTGTTTGTTTTTAAGAAAAGTTAAAGAGAAGCTTCAAAGAGTGGTTTCCTTGTTGATCTGGAGAGCTGAAGTCTTTTCCTAATGACTATTGGAGTTTATCTTTAAAAAAGAAGTAAACTAAAGGTCCAAATTCACCCCTTGTGCCAGTTCTCCAAGGCAGCAGAATGACACCTGATAGGAGTTAGGGTTTAAGATGGCAGCAGGAAGGACAAAATTCTTGACGGTCTTCAGTTGTAGGTAGTAGGGTCGTCATTGCTTGATGCGGTTCACTCCCCTTTATGGGCCATGTGAATGCTGCTCCAGTTCTAATCATCTGCATAAAACTCTCCCTTTACTACACATCTCTGCCATGTACTAATACTCATGGAGGTTGTGTGAACAGAGATCCAAATTTTAGGGCAGAGGTTGAAGGTGAGAATGTCACTTTTACCTCTGCCAGGGACTTTCTAAGCTTAGTCAGCACAAGCTGTTTGTAATCACAGTGAGTAACACCTTGCTCTAGAAAGAAAGACGTGGTTAGTCAGTGTGTTTACTTCAGGAGTGATTTGTGAATAAATCCAAGTACAATGGCTGGTCTTTGTGAGTCAAATATGTCGGGATTTAGTATATGTAAGTTCAGAGAGCTGCTTAAAGTATTTTGAGATTCGTGGTGGGGAAGGAGTAATGCATACAGAGCTGAGCAATGGGGTGAAATACAACAGGATCCAAATATTCAGATAGCATTTGAGTTATGAATTTTGGGGGCTTCAAAAATCATAATGGTCCATTGCCCCAGCCACAGAAGTTTGGACACTTTTCTGTACTCCTTTGCTAGTTTTGACCTGAATGGGATAAACAATTCCGTGTTCTCTCAGAGGAAGAACTTCCCCCTCTCCTTCCCCCATCAGATTAATTTCAAAGTAAAAAAGGTACAAATATGCTTGAATTTGCTACCTGTGAGTACCCAGTAACTTCCAATCATGCCCTTCTTTCAGGCTGACCTGATCAATAACTGTGGGTTTAGGTGGCAACATTTTTACAGCATCATGGACTAAGAAAATACAAAGAAACAATATGAAAACATTGTGCAAGTGTAAAGGGCTGAGAACATCAATGAATTAATTGCCTAAAACAACACTGAAAGTTCAAATTTTAAAGACTAAAAACATTTTCTCACCAGACTACTCTGATGGCTAGTTCAGTAGAAAAAAGGCAATAATAATTATTTTTTTCCTGAATAAAATTATTAAGTATGGATAAGAATAAATAACAGAAAAACAGAATGCGAGTAAACTTTACAGCTACCTTTCAAAAAGAATTTTGCTTTTAAAATGCGCTAAGATACTAAAGGAAAAAACTAGAAAGATTGGGATGAAAATGCAGATAGCCACTTAATGATAAGAATACATGGCAGTTCAACAAGGTGAAGTCAGGTCTGTGTTGAACCTTATAAAAAAATCTGTAGGGCTCAATAAATCAAAAACTGGAAATTCTGGGGCTTCAAGAGTGCTCAGGTTAATATTAATAGGTCAAAGGGTAATCTAGGTCAAAAATTGTTTGTTGCCTCCAGAGCTGAGGCTCACAGTGATTATGTTAAAAAAAAAGTTGTGAGTTTTGAAATAAATTATTGTTGGAATCTTGGAACATAGGTAAATATTTCAAATGATAAATAATAAATAGGTAAATATTTCAAATGATGCTGTATATATGTTATTTCCAATATCAGACATTGAACTTAATTGTAACAAATTCTGCTTTCTCAACAGTTTCACAGAATAATGTACACAGCCAGTCATTCCTCCTTCTCCAGAAGATTGATTTTTGGAAAAGGAAATTGAAAAGGATTTAAAAAACTTCTTTTTTCACTCCATCAAAATCTAACTTAAATTTATCTTCAACTTGAAGTAAAAGATAACAATTAAATATTTGTACAGTATATTTTCGTGTGGCAAATTAGTGTATCTGACACAGTCAAACTTTTTTTTCCTCCTCCTCTTCTTTTCTCTCCCTCAGTTTGGGCAACAGAAAAAGCAGAAGGAATTTTCTTTTCAATTTTAATCATGGTTGTCTACATTCACACTCAAGTTTTTTGTGCTCTAGAACAGTTCCACAATGTTTCCATTGAAGATATCTCTGATGATCAAGCATTTCATGTTAGCACTTCTCCAGAAACACTGGAGTGAGAAATTAATTCAGTAAATTTTAAGTTCTGTTAGGCACCTAGCTGATCTTAGCGTCTTAAGGATGTGAAGTGCCATGGAGATATACATACTTTCTTTAATGCATAAAGGATGCCTAGATAGCATTAAAGTAAATATTTAAGTTATATACCCATGGTAAGCAAGGACAAATCTAGCAAAATCATAGGATTTCTTTCTTTTTTTTTTTTTTTTTTTTGGTAGATTTCCTTATATATTAGTTCCTAGCTAGTATTCTCACCAAGATGGCAATGTCCTTGTTGACCTTGAGAGGAATGACATCATACCATAAGTGCTTTATCTTCTCGCATATATCTGGAAAGTGAGGCTTATGTTGTTAACTCAGTGTGACTCCCTCCATCATAGCTGTAAAATGTCCTTGACAAGTTTTCATAGTCCCTAAGTTTAGAAATCCTAAGCTAGTCACCTAAGATGTAATGCATTCTAGCTAGTTCTAGAAAGACACCGTGTAGGTGCATATGTATGAGTGCTTTTATCCTCGGCTTCCTTTATAAGTAGTTGAGAAAGGCACACACCTTTGGGGCATGACTTTACTTTGAGGTGAGATAAACTGCACACTCTATCTTTTTCTTTCCACTGATTATAGGGAGAGGAAGGTGATTAATGCCGTTGTAGTCATGTACAATGCACAATGCCACAGTTACATTCTGACTATTTTTTGTTGAGAATGATAGGCACTTCCATATGATCCCTTCTACGCAACTTAGACACTTAAGTGTGCAAGTGGCCACCCATAATTATCTAGTGCTATCTTCTGGGATCCTTCAGCTCCTACTCTACATGAGCCCAGTTCTGCTATCAGTTTCATGTCTTACCTGTCAAAACTCTGTGACTGTCTTAGATACCCTAAAACATCTCAATCGGCTTTGAACACTTATACGTGAACAACTACATTTTTTCCTGCCGTAGGAAGAGATGAATTGTCCCTTGGAAGAAAAGGTCTTGTTCTGTTGATCTTAAAAGGAGTTTAGATGGCCAGCATAACCCCACCCTGTAATACCAATCACTCCTAACCTTCTCAATAAAGCGATGTCAGGAAAACAAGAAAATAAATGAAGTGAAGAAGAAGTTAGAATGTGGCTGGAAAAAACCTCTTGACTCAAAGAGGCTTGAGCTCAAACTACAGTTTCAGTGTTTTCAGTGTAGGGATGTATGGTAGATAGGAAAGTAATATTTCAGTAGTACTTTAGCAAGGTTGTTACCACGTAGCTGTTGTGGACAAAGTCAATCTGTCTTATTTATCATTTTGCTTGTATTTAATTTTCCTTTTGGTAAGTGATTGGATTCTGTCAAACCTCTGCACCTCAGCTAGATTTCTAAAGACAATAAAGCTGCAGAAATGAGCTGTTGAAGAAAAGAAAACATCACCGAATCAAGGCATTACAAAAGGAGACTCCAATTGCCTGCTTTGAACCTGTTGAGCAGAGACCCAGATATGGCAGACTACAGTGTTGTGGGACCAGGGGCTGAGAAGATAAATGATAGAAGCCTGTGCTGTCATTTAATCCAAAGTTCACAGAGCAATCAGGGCTCTTACTAAACTATCAAGGGTGTGTTGGTTTGGTTTTTTTTTTCATTTTAGTCTGCTATGCTCTTTTCACAAGAGACACTATGACTGCTACTTGAACGGCCAGGACAGATTCCCAACAGGTTCTGGCCTCATTCGAGTGCAGCTTTATTGTACATTCCTACACAGGGATGAGCAGCCCCCAACACTGAATGGTTCACTTGTCCCATGACCCAAGAATTCCTCTTTTGCCAGGTTTCCATATTGTTTTCCCAATGGCGAGCAGATCAGGCATTTCCAATGGATCAGAGGAAGCCCTTCTTTCAATCTATCCAGCATGCAAGCAAAGTCAGGACGCTGGAACTTTGTGTCCCACAACTGATGCACTGACCCTAACTCTGCTGCTAGAGAGGAAAATGCTTCAAATTTCATGTGTCACCTCAGCCAAGTCCAGAAGTGCTTATAAAAAACAGTGTTAGTGTATCGTTCAGAACAATCAAATACTACGTGCACGAAAAAGTAGTTTAGAGCAACAGAAATTTTTAAAAAGTGACAATTTCATCACACAATTACTGTACACTGCTGTTCTTAGGGTTGAATACTTTCCTCTCTCACGCTCTCTCTTTCTCTCTGTTTTAATCTTTCTTTTTTGATTTTTTCTTTTTATTTTTCTTTTTTCCCCCCTTTTTTGGATTTGGTCCACTGGAGATAAATTGCCCTCAATGATATATATATTTAAAAAAAATATCAGCAGCAAGACTCTCTTGAAATAGATTCTGTTTGATGTAGCTAGTCTGTCTTTTCTGTTTTGCCCTCTTTCACAGCAGCCTCTGAAGTTTTCCGCAGGGGGGCTTTCTCCGAGTTGGCGTGTCCTTGGCCGGATTCCGCCGCGCCTCCGTTTTTGTGCGATGTGTGCTTTTCCAAGTAGTTCAGCATTTCACTGAGAACAGTTTGGAAAGTGCTTAGGGCAGCACATATTGCAGGAGTTCCAAAACCATGAGTGATCAAACTACAGATAGGAAGGAGACAGAAAAAGAAATACACACATGCACATAAATATAAATGCACTCACATACACTGAAGAGTTTACAGTACATTCATTTTGCTATAGTGAAATTCAAGATTTGCTCCCTAAACTATTTATTACCTATGGGAGAAACAGAAAAGAAAAGAGGCAAAGAGCAGGCTACATACAGCTTCAAAGGCTGATTTTGGGAGGAATCTCAATTCTGAAACACTGTGGGACAGATTCTTGCTAATGCAGATTGGCACAGTGTTGTTCACTTCAGAAAGGGATCTGTGCCCTAGACTTCCCAGCATTGCTATTTTTCCACTCTCAGAAGGTTTGTTTTCCCCACCTTCTCAGGTAAACGAAACCAGTTCTGTGTGGTTAATTCACTCTTCTAAATTTGACTCTTGAACAAGAACTGGAGGATGTCCCTGCCCATGGCGGGACGGTTGGAACTAGATGATCTTTAAGGTCCCTTCCAACCCTGACAATTCTATGATTCTGTGTGGATGTATGATGGCATCTGTACTAGAAAATGAGGCAATGCCAAGTGTGCAAATGCCGGCCTTCAGCACACTTGGCATGGTTTGGCTATATCCATGTTGATAAGCCCTCTGAGCATCCAACAGGATGAAATTAATAATAGAAATTAATTTAGAACTATTCTGTGATTCCAAATCCAGACTGGCTATAGGGAACACTCACTGGCCAATGCTAATGCCCAAACAATGCTCAGGAAACGCTTCGCATTGGGCTAGTTCACCCAGACTAAATTCACAGACCATATTAAGCAATTGATCAGAAAAATAATGAAGTTCCAAGAACGTTGCCCTGATGATGTTGAATTTGCTAGTACAGATTTACCCTGTTGCACTTTTTACTCAAATAAGGTGGTTTTTTTCAAAATAACATTGATTTTCTCTTGTTTTCTGCAACATGAATTAGCTGAATTTCAGTGGTGCTCCTCACTTAACAGCTACTGAAAAGATATATTAATGCAGTTGCCCATGGGTCCTGTCTCTTAAATACCATCTCTGTGAGGATGTCTCCTCTACCTCAGGATATCAGAAACGGCACTAGAGATGAGTTTTTAGGCAATTAGCTTCAGCCCTATCTACCTAAATATTATGTATACACTATAAGATGTTGACATAAGAGTCAGGGAAATGCAAGTTGTGCTAGACGTTTTAGAATGGGCAAACAAGTTATTGTTATTGTCATAATCACTCATTCTGATGAGTGGTATGAATATATACACACTCAAATACTCCAGATTTTTATTTTTCATAAATGTCACTGCACCTTTGAAAAGACTAATTTCAGTTATGCCAATTCTGCCAAAGGCAGAAAGAGGGCGAAAGGAACAGGAGCTGATTTTTGAGTTGATGGATATTTTTGAGGAATCAATACTTTATATTGGTTAAGATGAGAGGAAAGAGCACATTACAGTGTTCCTGACAAGACAATAACTATTTTTCATTTTATGCTAGTTAAGATTAAGATCTGGGTGACTTAGACACCACATCAGGAAACCCAGACCTAATGCAGAGACCCATGCATAGGTCAGAAATGGGAACATTTCATTTTAGTGAGAATGCCTCTCCTCTGCACTTTGGCATCTCAGTCCTTCCAGGTGTTTTAGAAAACAGTGAAAATGTAGGGGACAACAGAAAATCGTCAATCACCAGGATGTTGGAGGTATCAAAAAAGTCCATGGGGAACGTTCCAAGATACCTTTTAGGGTGACTTTTCTGTCTGCTGTCCATGGGAGTCCTATCTGCTAGGAAAGCTACTATCCTAGGGAAGACACCAAACTTCAATCCTAGCCAAAACGAGAGCTCGGTTTGGAAATATCCCTCCACTTCAGATTGGGAGCAGCTCAGTTATTATAAAAGGTCTCCCAAAGGCTATTAACAACTAACTTGCTTTTAGAATGTTTATCCATCTGTCTTGAGGCACTTTTCAAAGAAGGAATTTATGTTTATCCTCAGTTACTAATGAGAGAAAAATGGTAATTAAATATTTACAAGAACTATTTTGCAGACATCAATTAATAATTCCACATGACTCTTGAAGTTTGGAGTCTCAAATTTTGGACCTGTAGTAATATCTGGATTTTTTAAATTTAGCATTAAAAAGAGGTAAAAATACCTTGCTTTAATATTTTAGGGAGATTTTTTATTTATTTAGAAATGCCTGGTATACCAGCAAAATAAAATTCATCATTATTTTCACATTGTCCTCATAAATAATGTTTTTAATAGTAGTATAAACAAGAACAGCAGTAACATAAAAATAAGAATATTTTTTGCCCTTTCAAATGCTTTTAGGAGTCAGGTGATTTCAAGATTTTGTGTTGCGTTTTGTCATCATTTTTGGTCTTCCTACATCCAGAGAAATGAAAATGTGATGGAACTTACAATAACAAAATTAGAAAAAGGAAAATCAAATGTGTCATTAGGAGTTATAGTAACTTAAGATTTTAATACTGTTTGCGTGATCTTTTGGGTCTTCATTTGGGGAATTGACTATACTGAGACATATATAAAAATATTTATGATCTTGAATGCAAAAGAAACTCATTTATCTATTTTAAAAGCTGGCAATATCTGAAATCATTTATTTCCAGTGGATTCAAATAAAATTGAGTAGAAAAGAAATCTCCTGGCCTGCTCTCTTTGAACCTTTTGACTCCTGAACAAAAGCAATAGTACTGTGTTCATTTTGTAGCTCAATGAATAGTAAAGTGGAAATACTGCAGTGAAAACTTAGAGATTGTCTCAGAAATTATGTCTCAGAGACTATCTCAGAAATTATCTGTACAGCTAAGAACAAAGACAGATAACTTAAATGTTCTCAAATGCTGAACAAGACTATAGAAAATACCAGAATGGGACAAAATCTGATATCATGGTACTGAAGCATAGGTGCCAATTTGTAGGTGTTGCACATCAGTAAAGCCTAAACTCCCATTATCATCAAACTGGACTTAATGTAGATGTCCTATAATACCTGAAACACCTGCAAAGATTTGCTAGATATGGCACAGAACTTGTCCGCCTTGCTCCTAGTGTTTTTGATGCCACGCAGATGTATCTCACACGGCTCTAGATACCAATGGTTAGGCAACTGAGTTGAACACTGTGACTTTATTCAGTAACTAGAGAATTCTGGAGAATGATTTAGCACGTGAAATCTTTTGTCTCCTTTACAGTGAGCTGCAGTATTCTTCTGGCTACACTGAAGACTCCATCAAGCTGAATAAAAATGTCTGTTTGATGCCATTCTAGATGCCTATGGTACCAAGAGATCTGTGTCAAACGAACAGGTAATGCAGAGGGCTTAGGGAGAAGAGTGTCCTTTTAAAGCAGCAGTGGCCTGATGGTGTGGCTAATAGCATTTAAAAAGATGCTGCACGGTACTGTTTACTCAGCTATACTTTGTCCTAGACCTTCAATGACTACATGGGAAGCTTAGACATCCGTCTTATATTGAAACACCTAGATATGGGTATTTTATCCTGAGCAGAATTTTAAACTTCTGGTCTGAAAATTAGTGTTCATAGGAAAAGGATTTTGTGGGGTGACTTAAGGATCTATCTCTTTTACAGTTTAGCCTCTGGTGTAGGCTGGACCTCATGATCTCAGAGGTCTTTTCCAGCCTCAACAATTCTGTGATTCTGTGATTCTGTGATTCCGTGATTCCGTGATTCTGTGATTCCGTGATTGTGACAGAAAGAACCATTAATCATCAAATACAACAGTTTTTTTTCAATATAGCATTATATTTCTTACAAAAAAAAAGAGCCAACGCTTTTTTAGTGAAACGGTATAGCAGAGTCTCATGGCAACTCTACTTTCAGTTCGTGATGAGTAGATTCTTCTCCACAGGTGGGAATATGCAAAGCCTACCAGTTTTCTTGGGAACCTTATTGAGAGAAACCATTTTATAGAAAATTTCTGACCAGCCCTCATCTCCATGCTTCTGTGAGGGTGTATTTTTTAGCCACCTTTTACGTAATGAGCATAGAAAGGCTGAGAGAGATTATCTTCCACCTATTCTTTTATTTTAATCAGTAATTCCCCTTGCTCTAATTTTGGTGGACTTTTTTTTCTCTGTAAGTTAAAGTCTAAAAAAAGCAAAGAAAGCTGGATAATTTCCCTTTGCTGATGAAAGTAAGTTCCAAGACTGTGAGAAAATCTGATTTTACCTTGAAATCAGACATGACAGAGAGAAGATTAATAGTAAAGCATTCTGTTTCCTGAAAGCCAAATTTAGTTGCCTGATTTTTCAGAATAACTGAACTCTCACTGAAGTTGGTTCATTTTTGGTATGCTCCACAGCTATGAAATGAGTTTCTTTTATTATAATGTTTTCATTTGGATTTAAAAGACTAAAATTAAACATCGTGGTTTCATAATGGAGTCTTCTGGGTATTCTCAGCTTTGTAGTGCATCTCATTACAACTCCAATAAACTAGTAACTTTATTGTTCTAAAAGGCAAGGCTAAAATCTCTGACTTTGGTGCATGGAGAGCTGCAGAGAGAAGATAACGAATATCAGGCCAACATATTATAAATCATTATGCTTAAGGACATCCAGACTTGCCTGCAATTTTGCCCAGCGCTATGATGCAATTATGTCTGCTCATGTTTTAATGATGGCCTTACTCAAAAGTGAAAAGATCCAAGTGTGCCTGAAGGCTTGGACTCTTGTTTGGCAACTACCTCAAGGACTCCTCCATACTCCAGGCTGGTGAAACTCCGACATGCAGCAAAAGAAACAGATTCCCTCTCAACAGAGGGGAAAAGGCCATCTGTACTGAATGTTTGCACCCTTGTTTAAAATAAGTAAATACTTTAAAACAATAATAACACAGGAAAAAGCAAGCTTGTTGGTTGGGCTTTCTCAGAACCCTGAACATGAAAACCAGTTCAGGTTATCCAAATTTAACAACATGTGGCAGATGACAAATAGTAAGATCTGATAAGACTTTTGAT